TTTTTTCTAGTTTGAATGACATTAGGTTGACGAATAAGCGTCTTTTCAGAAAAGATTGATTCAAATTCGACTATACCAATCAGAATCTAGAATGTAAACAAATGCTAAAAAATCGTTATTTTCATAGTTTTTCAGCGCTACTTTCACTTATTTTTGTTATTTGACGCTATTTAGACGAATAGGCAAGTTTTCCGAAGATTTTCCGCCAAAATAGAAACTTCCCGATAACATCGGAAATGACATTCTAACATCATTTTAAAATATTCGATATCTAAAGCAGAAAGTGTTAGCTAAAAATAAACCTATTTATACAACAATCCCCCATTTCTCACCTCAGGGAAAGTCATAAAACAGTTGGGTGCTAATGACTTTGTGAAAGGGAAAAGTTCTAAACTTAGAAACTTCGAAAGAAGGGATTTGGCCTGTACCATCCGCTGGCCGCATAAACATTGATAGGGGGCCGTATGTGGCCCGCGGGCCGCAGGTTGTGCACCCCTGATTTTACAATGATCCTATATTCCCGGTGCAAGCTCCTCACTTAGCGACCAATTCGCTTAACAACATAGTTGGAACAGAACTCAGTCATAAAGTGAGGAGTACCTGTATTTCTTTGCAATCATAATGAAAATATGTAGTATCTTATTGGTATTTTGAAAGTTATTTTATGAGAATTGGATGTAGAGATGTTGGTTTTAGTACATGACAATGATAGTTATGGGCAGTTCACTTTCAACAGTGTTCTGCCAAATGTCTCTGCACTTTAGGTAAACCATTTGTGATTAATTATTTATCATTGCTATGCATGCTAACTATTTAGTACATCCTGATGTCTGCATCTGGTTTTTTAACTGGTTTCCTATAATGATGAAATGGATGACAAGGAATACGTCGATATTTCTATTTGTATAAGTCTTAAATATATTGTAGAAATACAAATAATAAATAAATATATTGATTGTCAAATTAGCACTTAATCACGTCTGTTAATCAGACAACCATTTCAAATATGATGATATAATACTGTGTTCAAATCAAGCTAAGCAAACCCAAAAGGGAGAACAAATTTCAATAAATGAAGATTTTGACAAAAGTAGGAATGGAGAGAATCAAGAAAGTAAACAACCTGTAGAAATTACCTACTTTTAAGCATTCAGCAATATATAATTATAAATTACCTTAATATATTAAATAAATATATTACATTAAATTACTTTAATATTTAAACTACTCAAAAACATAATGTTATATAATGTTAAATGTTTAAATTATTCAGAATTAAGACAGTTGCAATGGGCACTTGACTGTTAAAATGGATTTAATACAGCTAAATAAGTAAGACAATGACAACCCGTTTTATTTGAAATGAACTACAGTATGTCATTGGTTTGCTTATCCAGCTGTATTAAGGTCACTTTATCAGGCAATGCATTCGTATAACATTCAATTTTGATACTATAAGCCTAGTTCACATTTTCTGTAGAAAAGTGACATAGCTTGTCCAGTTTTTTGATAAGGAAATCTTTCTTGTTATTTGCAGACACTATAAGTTTGAAGCAAAATTGTAGTTGAAGCCAAACATTTGAATTTGTATCATATTTTAACTACATTATTTATGACAATAGGAATTATGGAAAAATTAAATTTTAAAACAAGATAGCACTTAAGAAGTGTTTTTTTTTTCCACATGACTTTCTTTATTCTGTGGACATTAAATGGGCTTTTTAGTTACAAGATGGTTATAGTAAATTAGTCAAAGGAGTATTAGGCAGGAGTTCTCCAAATTCATATCTGGCTGGTACAATTTATAAAATTAGTTGGAAGTGTAGAACATTTTGTTATTTTTGTACGTATTTTAATATTTGTCATTTCAATTTTGTAATTGTTTTCCTGGTACACTTAAAATGATTTTATAACAGAGGTTGAGAACTATTGATCTAAATATTAATAATTTGCTATATTATTAATATTTCTTCAATTTGGTTCAAGATCATTATCTCAATGCATTTTTCATAAAATAATGATTAATCTAAACTAAGTATTGATACAATAAATTAACTATGATTAATTGTTTCAATTTTCAGTTTGTTTTATTTTTAAAATGTATATATTTGCTATGTTTTTCTTTAATAAAAACTTTTTGTTTGAGAATTTATTTAGAAATCATTTATCTTTATTCTTGCTTTTATTTAACTTATTTTAAATNGAGACCCTTTACAGGTTGAGAATTCTTTATCCTTGTGAATGGAAGTATTTCAGATTTTGGAATATTTGCACCTGATTTGATAAAACAATAAGTCATTCAGACTAATATATATTTTGCATATTTAAATATTTTTGTTTATTTCCTTAAAACATTATATTCACATAAATGTGTGGAATTTTTTTTAGTGTGTACTGTAGTTGTGTAAAAATAATTTTAAAAGATATTCACATTGTGGCATTAATTGATCAATTTGTATTTTATTGATTTGTATTTGTTCAAATTTTGAATATGTTCTGGTAAACATATATTAAAATTTTGGATGGAACTACATTTATAGTACCAAAAAAGTCCCATGTTTTGTATGTATACACTTCTCATAAAGTTTATCACAGGTGCCTGGCAAAAAGACCCTGTGTGAATGATGAAATATTCCCAGGGCTTTGTGAAATTTTTCTATTTGTGGTATATTATGTCAGCAATTAAAAAAATTTCTGGATTTTGGAAGTTTGCAACCTGTACAAATATTGATTTTTCCAGTTCAACCCTACGTAAAGTTTGTTGGTAAAAAATACTAAAAAAGCAAATTCACAGACTTTTAAAAAAAAAAAATTACTGTAAATAATTTCATAAATTTATATTGAGAGGAGAGAATATGATGAAGAAACAGATTAGATCATATTAAAAGATGATTATATGGCACTGGTCATGCTTTCATGAGAAAATGCCATTTAAATTTTATGAAATTCTTTAGTTTAAATAGCCAGTTTATTAGTCAGAAATGTGCTAGAGACATAATATTCTAGATACTTTATGCCAGTTTAATAAATTTGGATATATTTGTAATCTATAATAATTTCAAAATATGTATTAAAATCAAGTAAATATTTGTATTTTGATTTGTCTTTTATTTTAATAGTCATGTCCTGAGATGATGGAAAAACTACTTTTTTCTAACATATTGGATAAGGTTAGAGATAATGAAGACGTAAGTAAACACTTTAAGTAATATTTAATACAATTTATGCATAAACATGAATTTTGTCTGAACTGTGGAATTTTTCAAATCTTTTCCTGTCTTAATCAAATGTTTATGATTGATAAATTTCTTATGATATTTATTCTTAAGAAATTCTGTTACTTTTTAAAGTAACAAAATTTTTTGAGACTACTTTCAGCTTTCAAAACCTGAATCGAAAACATTATTTAGTAAATTTCATTGCTGAATTTTTTAAAGGTGTGATTTTTTGTAATCTATTATGTTTGCTTATCACTTATATGATTTTATGAATTAACCTACAAAATAAAACTTTTTTCTGAAGCTTCACAAAAAATTTTAATGAATTGGTTGATAATAAAAAATTTCATCAGAATAATCAGAAAAATATTAAAATTGTTCAGCATATTAAGAGTAGAATTACAATTTACTTAATAGTTATTTAACATTCAATGTTCATCAATTGCTGAGTGAGTTCTCATCAGTGAGTGGTAAGTCCTAACAAGTGCTAATTATAGTTCTCAGATAATTAATAATAGTGGGACAAGAAGCTTAATATTAATTACTTAATGCTGTTTCAGACAGTTTTTAAAAACTAAGAAGAATAATTACTAAGAAACTGTTCCATATTTCAAATTCTTAAGAATGATTTGATTGTTAAACTTCCCAAATACAGCAGAATCCTATTTATCAAGCTCAAATTGGACTGGCCTAATCCAAATGACTGAAAAACCAGAAAATTCATTAACAACATAAATAACACAGTTTAGATGTACATAATATTTTATTTATTGCAATGTGCAATAAATAAATTATTATATATAAATAAAAAATAAATAAAATAAAAAATGTATATACTTTTTTGCTTTATATTGTTAATATTGTTGTAAGACATCTATGTACAGTTGTTTTCTATCAGCTGGTACAGCACAAATACATAAGTTTCCTGATCATTTGTGTAGGGTAGAACTTCTCTTTGATCTTTTTCAAAGTTAATTATTAATTAGGCTTGGTGCTCTGTTGGGAAACCAAAAGACTAATTTGAACTGAAGTAATTGTGATATGCTGTACTATATTTATTTTTGTTACCAGATCCTTGGTTATAAAGTTACAAGTGTTCAAAATTGGCATTGAGCCAAGGAAAAACAGTATTATTACAGCAGTAACATTATACTCAGACAAGAATGTACTACTAACAAGTTAGACATACAGAAAGTTATATATGCAAAAGAACTCTCTCTCTTATCTGGATTAACAGAGTTCTACTGTATGTTGTACAGATAAAAGAAATAATGAACATTTTACTTTTGAATGTTCAGTACATGGTATTATAGAATTGATACTTTATAAATTAAAAGATGAAATTGTTAGAAATCTTAAAATGTTCACATGCTTTAAAAATTAAGTTTTTTTTTTAAAATAACATTCAGAATCTTCATATTCAAAAATCCTACTAATTTAAATGTCAGAATCATGTTTTGAAATCAATGTTTGTTCCTAATTTTACTTTTAGACATATTTAACCAGTTAAAAGAATAAATCTTATTTGATCAGGGTTATCTGCTGCTGGCTTGAGTTGTAGCCAGTTAGCAGGTATATTTTTAAGATTTTTTTAATTATTATTCTAGATATCTTTATTAAATTGTTCTGTGACGGAGAATAAAGTTAAGTTAATTTATGATCGTTTACTAATTTTCCATTGTATTCTTAATTATGTTATAGATAGAAATTTTATTTATTTTTTGTTAACAGAACATTGAATCATATGGATTTTATTGAGAAATTAAAAGTATTTGTCCCAATATACTACAGCTTATCAAACTAGTTTTACAAAATTAGCCAAAAAGTTTTAAAAAAATGCATAAGAAACTAGGGGTTAATGATTTAGTTGTTAATTTTAAGTAACAAATTTTTGTTATTTATTTTTGATAGAAATTTATCTAACAAAAATTTGGTAAAGTTGAAAAAGGAACATCCCTTTTCAACTTGCAGAAAACAGTTTAGTTCTAAAAATAGTTAGTATATGAGACATCTCACACTATCATCTGTGATACTGCATGACTTCCATAACACGTTAGAAGCATGGAGGGTTTATTTCTAACAATCCGATTGAATGGAATTTTCGTATAAAAGGCAAGAAGTCACTTTCAAAAGTGTTTTTTGTCAGCATCCTTGCCATTGCAATTAGCCAGTGCTCTCATTCCTCTCCCCAGTTCTCTATTTTTACTTGTTCCCAAGAACTTTCAACACTCCACGTCTAAGATGAATGTATTACAGGTAGGAATTTTGTAAACTCTCTCTCTCTCAGAAAAGCATTAGGGAATACATCGTCATTCATCTTATTTCCTTTTTAGAATCATTTACATTTTAGAGGTTTATTTCTATAAATGTTTATTACACAAAAATATCATATCAATCACATTTTTATAATAAATTTATTAATAAGGGATGAACAAAACTATCTTTTAATTATTGTATTTTGATTTGATTAGTGCCTCACTCCATCGCCTGTTCATGATTATCAACAATTTAACTTAAACCTTTTTAAAAATTCCAGCAAATTTTTAATAGACTTTTTTCCACTTGGAAAGTCAATATCACAAGTTAAGATGTGGTTAAATTTATTCTAACTGCTGTCAGGACTCTTAAGAGAAAGATTTCTCTGATCTGTCTTTCTACATTTCCATTCTGAATGTGGAACAGGGTTATTCTGGAGTCCCCTGTTCTCACACATAATCAACTATAAAAAAATTATCTAAACAAAATTTTATAATAATACATCTTAAAATATTTATTTCCATCATATATGTTTTTAACTTTATATGAATAAATCTAAGTTTTTATAAAATACATAAAAATAAATAAATATTTATTTATTTTTAAGTTTCAATTAATTTAGTATGTATGTGATAGAAATTTGTTAAGTTGTTTAAGTTCTATAAAAATTGCCAATAGATTTACTCACTGTATTCCTGGGGGTGTCATTTTGGGAATCACTGGCTATTGGTGTTCCCACCTAAATCAGAAAATGGACCAAAACTTTAAAAAAACAAATTTAAATATACAGGGTGTATCAGTATAGCAGTTACAAACTTTCAGGAGAGATAGAGTACACCTAGATGATAGGAAATCACATAGCAATGCATGGTCAGAAACGCTTTCTTGTGTTTTGTGTCATCACTACCATGCCAGGAAAGGAAGGACACGAACAGGGTAAGAAAACATGTTTATTATTCTTAGTACGGCAAAAATGCTGGGACGTCTTTGGCTGGTGTATGCGATGTTGCTACGTAAACCAGAGTATCAGATTACATTGCATGTGCGCAAGAATAATAAATATGTTTTCTTATCCTGTTCGTATCATCAATACCACACAAGGAAAACATTTCCGACCATGATGATTTCCCATTGTCTATGTGTACTCTCTCTCTCTGCTGAAAGTTTGTAATCGCTGTACCAATACACCCTGTATACAAACTGCTAAAGAATAAAAATTTTCAGTTTCTATTTTAATTTAAGAGCATAATTTTTTATACTGTTCTATTCTTCTTGTTACAGTTGTAATTGTAATGTTATAAATATAACTTACAAACAACTTTTAAATAATGAATATTTTTAAAATACTTTGTAAATAGTAATAAAATTTAATTAATTTAAATGCATTATGTGACATTATTTAACAAGTTTGTCAATACAATTCACAATCTTTTTTGCAGGAAACTATGGGAAGGAAACTTGTTGAAGTAGTTAAATCAACAGCAACTTCCCAAATGACTAAAGGAGCTGCTTTTAGTGGCTTGATGAATGCATTCAGTGAGTACTACTAAATTTTATTATGTTCAATAGAAATTTGCTTAATAGTAATATTCTGTATTTCTGTGTTAATGTATTTTACAATAGATTTCACATCTGTTGTCAAATCCATCCAACAAAGTATATAATTACAGTCAAACTTCTATATAATAAATTTTTGAATTGTACACTGCTCTTTCAGCTGAAAATATGTAAAATTGCTTCTAAATAACAAATTTTTTTTATACGTAAGGACCATCGGTCAATAACCTATTAAAACAAAAAATAATAATATTTTGGAAGTTAGTTATAATTTTTATATTAAAATGACTAGTGACATCTAGTTTCAAAAATGTTCAGATGCTGAAACGAGATATGTCAGAAATACCAGGGAGTATGTTAAAAGTCAGTTACTCTCTCTGGGTCAAGTTCGAATTTAGGTTCAATTTCAGGTATCAATCTGTAAATCCTTTGTAAATCTGTGGCCCAGGTGTTAGAAATATTGGATATTAGCTTTTAAAATCATCATGTAATCTGCCCCCATGTGGCTACCAGTTGTAAAGAAGGGAGAGAGAGAGACTAGGTTCAAATGCCTTCGTTGACAGATAAACAATTTACAATTAACAAATGTCAAAATGTTAGAAAGTTGATAATTTTGACAATTGCTGGATTAATTTTTCAGGTTAGTGAGATTTTATTTTATTTAATAAGTTGTCCAGTTGGAATTTGAAGAGATGTTAATATAGTGTTTAAGCATTACTAAAAAAAAGTAATGAGTTGTGGGACATTGATAAAGTTGAATAAAAGATAGACATTGTAGCAAAGTTTGGAATTCCTGTGAGTTAATCAACCATAATAACAAATAGCAATTCTGTTTTGCAATTAGCCAGTGATGTGATACCTGCAGGAAAAGGTGCTAGATTAACCTGCATTTATATTTGTTTAGAAAGTAAGTTCGTTTTTTTATCACTAGATGGATTAGTTGTATTTTTCCTGCCATTTTCATTCTAAACCATATTATCATTATATATTTTGACAGCTAGCATTTTAAGGCTTATTTGTAAAAAATTTCGTTTGATTTTGTGCAATTGTTTATTTTTTGTGTCCCATCAAATATGGAAGATCGAAAGCAGCATTTTCGGCACATATTGCTCTTTTATTACCGAAAAGGTAAGAATACTGTTCAAGAGAGGAAAAAAACTGTGTCACATGTATGGAGATGATGTGTTGAGAGAAAGACAGTGCCAAAACTGGTTTACAAAATTTTGTTCTGGCAATTTCAATATTGAAGATGCACCATGTTCTGGATGGCCAGTTGAAGCCAATGAAACCAAAATAAAGGTACTGATTGAAGCAAACTGCCGAATAACAACACGTGAAATCACTAAGAGATTAAATTTGTCAAATTGAAGTGTTTATGATTACTTGAAACAAATTGGTTTCATTTCAAAGCTTGATATATGGGTTAAACATGTTCTTAAAGAGAGATGCTATCTTTGGTGGGATTTTAAGGAAATTTTTTTTTTGGAGCTTTTACAAGACAACTTACTCGATGGCAGTACACTTTCAAATCAATTGTTAAACAAATTGAGTAATATCATCAAACAGAAAAGGCAGCCAGAATTGATCAACAAAACAGGTGTTGTGTTTTACTACGATAATGTCAAATTTCACACAAGTTTGGTAACTCATCAGAAACTGTTATAACTTAGATGGGACATGCTATTGCACCAACCATACTCGTCAGATCAAGCACACTCAGATTATTACTTGTTCCGGTCTATAAATTTTTTTTAACTGTAAAACATTTACTTGAAATGACAATGTCAAAAATCACTTGGATCAGTTTTTTATAAGTAACAATCAAAACTTTTATGAATGTGAAATCATGCTACTACCAGAAACGATGACAACAGGTATTTGACCAAAATGGTTGATTAATAAATATTTTATTGAATTATATATTATAAAAATATTGTGTTTTTTTCCACAGAAAAAAAACGAACATACTTTCCAAACAACCCAATACATGATGTAGACGGAGTTTTAATGCTCTTAATAAATGTGAAGCATATTTTGAAGAGAGAACATTTTTTAATTGTTTCATGCAACAAAAAAACAAACTACAATTTTTCTTTTTTACAAAAATGTAAAGTATTTTAACACACATTATAATGTAAATGTATTTAAAATTAAAACTACATTATTTACCAAAAAGTGTAATTTCTGTATAACAAAATTTTCCTGTAGTGATTATTTGTTCCCCAGAATATAGAAGTTTTTATATACAAAGGAATTACTTTTATTACAGATTCATGAAGCAAACATGCTGTTGGTCCAAATATTAATCAATATCTTTTGCTAGTTTTAATTTAGAGGGACAAAAATCGCTCTCAATCTATTTTTGAGTTTATATTTCTTGTCCGTTTAATGTTTCCTTTGATTTTGATAACTGTCTGTGGTACACATTAACATTCAATGAACTGAATTTTAGCATCATTGTTTAGCAATTTAATCATCAGCCTACTTTCCCTGGCATGATGTACTGTACAGGATCAGTGGAAATTAAGTAACTAAGAATTGAGAAATTGATATAATTTTTTTAATAATAATGCAATTGTAATAAACTTTGTGTACATACATCAATAAATGGAATTTTTACAATTCATAAATTGATTGTGTAGGCAGTGACCAAGAGAGGCTGCATGAACAATGGCAAACAAGATGGCTGACCTATTTGTCTGCTCAGGAATGAGCACAGATTGTTGCTTGCTATGAGGTGTGAAAATCAGTGGTTGTTGTGCAGAGATGGTGGCATTTGGTGAAGGGAGCATATGCTACAATCCATTTGGAAACAATCAAGAATTGTCACTTGAAGCTAAAATGACCACAGGCTCAGTTGCATATGCACAGACAAATAGCCATCCATCCACATCACAATATGAGGAAGGTGGCTGTTGGGAGATTACACTGGTGCCTACATTGAATTTTAATAGATGCATCCATATTTCCATTTAATAAGACACATGTCAAATAATTTTCATCATTGTTAGAAATACTGTATATCAGGAGTGGTGAACCTATGGCATGTTTGCCATAGTTGCACATAAGGAGAAATCATCTTATATGTAACATATCACAAGTTTGAAAAAGACAGGTTATAAAGCAATCATCCTTTTTTCAATCAACTTTTTTATGTTATCCGAATATGCTTTAGACTTTGTATAATTTTTTAAAATGTCATTTATTCTAAAGTTTTGGTCTGCTTACTATATAGCATGTGGGCTCAAAAAGGTTTGCAGTCCCTTCTGTATATCAACAAACTATTTTGATTTATTGAGAACAAGGAGTATTATTTCTTGATAACCTTCAAATGTTATCAAGAAACTACTTTGTTTTCTGAACATTGATTTTTCCTATTAAGTCTTAGTTATGTGAAGTGTCTGTATTGATACAAAACTTGAGAGGGTGTTTCCTAGGAATGAAGAACTATCTATTCAAAGCATTGAGTTATTTATGGAAAGTATCATCTTAAAAAACTCAACTACAATACAATAATTGAAGATCTTCCTAAATGAAGAATAAGAATTGGATAGGAAATGCTTTAGACTTTGTATAATTTTTTAAAATGTCATTTATTCTAAAGTTTTGGTCTGCTTACTATATAGCATGTGGGCTCAAAAAGGTTTGCAGTCCCTTCTGTATATCAACAAACTATTTTGATTTATTGAGAACAAGGAGTATTATTTCTTGATAACCNTGTTCTGTGACGGAGAATAAAGTTAAGTTAATTTATGATCGTTTACTAATTTTCCATTGTATTCTTAATTATGTTATAGATAGAAATTTTATTTAAAAAAGTTGCACCCTATCATTTTTTTTTCTATAAAATTTCAACTAATAAATTTGAATTAATTTTTTTACAGTTTGCCTTCTCCTTGGAATGGAGTATATGTATTTTTAATTTCATCTGATATCTTATATTAATAAGCTTTTAAAGTGAAATATTTTATTAATTAGATTTTCTATAATTTCTTTATGTTTGTGATTACAGTTGTGAAATTAGCAGAAAGGTATCATAAAGAAGAAGGTTTTGTAATACCAAAGAATATGGTTTGGATGCACTATTTTCTTAAAGAAAATTACAATAAAGCAGAAGAAATTTTACAGGTATTGTTTAAATTCTGAACTAAATTTATTTACTTGTGAAATATTTGAATTTATATTGTAACCATACTTTGTCTTTACACTGGTTTTCTATAATACATATAAACTGGAATTAAACTATACTGAATTTTTTGTTTTTGCAGGCATTCTGGTGTATTATTTTATCTTTAAACTACACCAGATAAACTTTGCAAGTTATGTTCATTTTTATAATAGAATTACTTTTGCATAAAAAAAAATTTATTACGGACCAAATTAATCCAAAATGATTCCATCTGAAGATGGAAGTATGCAATTCAGGAATTGAGAACTATTTCATTCTAAAAAAATTCTCATTGTTTCCAAGAACTTAAAAATGCTTAATATTCTATTGCCATCTCAAAAATGACCATGGAAAAAATACTTTACAAAAATCATTCTCTTATGACCAGTCAGAAGAAAGAACAGATTATAGTCATGACTTCAGTGGTCAATTTATTATTGAACATTCCTTAATAATCTCATTCATTTGTATTAAGTCATTCTTTAAACAAGTCCAAAAGAATTATCAGAATCCATTTCTTTCGTAAATAATTATTGATGATATGAGTCACATGTAGAAATATTCTAATTGCAAATGTTTTGATTGAATTTAATTTTTAATAAATTTAATATTCATTAAATTTATTAAAAATTAAATTAAAATTTAAAATTAATTTAATTTTTAATTTCAATTTAATAAATTAAAAAATTCATTATTATAACATAAAAATAATTAAATTCATCTTATAATAATTAAATTCATCTTATAATAAAAATTTTTCTCTAAAAAAAGAGACCCTTTACAGGTTGAGAATTCTTTATCCTTGTGAATGGAAGTATTTCAGATTTTGGAATATTTGCACCTGATTTGATAAAACAATAAGTCATTCAGACTAATATATATTTTGCATATTTAAATATTTTTGTTTATTTCCTTAAAACATTATATTCACATAAATGTGTGGAATTTTTTTTAGTGTGTACTGTAGTTGTGTAAAAATAATTTTAAAAGATATTCACATTGTGGCATTAATTGATCAATTTGTATTTTATTGATTTGTATTTGTTCAAATTTTGAATATGTTCTGGTAAACATATATTAAAATTTTGGATGGAACTACATTTATAGTACCAAAAAAGTCCCATGTTTTGTATGTATACACTTCTCATAAAGTTTATCACAGGTGCCTGGCAAAAAGACCCTGTGTGAATGATGAAATATTCCCAGGGCTTTGTGAAATTTTTCTATTTGTGGTATATTATGTCAGCAATTAAAAAAATTTCTGGATTTTGGAAGTTTGCAACCTGTACAAATATTGATTTTTCCAGTTCAACCCTACGTAAAGTTTGTTGGTAAAAAATACTAAAAAAGCAAATTCACAGACTTTTAAAAAAAAAAATTACTGTAAATAATTTCATAAATTTATATTGAGAGGAGAGAATATGATGAAGAAACAGATTAGATCATATTAAAAGATGATTATATGGCACTGGTCATGCTTTCATGAGAAAATGCCATTTAAATTTTATGAAATTCTTTAGTTTAAATAGCCAGTTTATTAGTCAGAAATGTGCTAGAGACATAATATTCTAGATACTTTATGCCAGTTTAATAAATTTGGATATATTTGTAATCTATAATAATTTCAAAATATGTATTAAAATCAAGTAAATATTTGTATTTTGATTTGTCTTTTATTTTAATAGTCATGTCCTGAGATGATGGAAAAACTACTTTTTTCTAACATATTGGATAAGGTTAGAGATAATGAAGACGTAAGTAAACACTTTAAGTAATATTTAATACAATTTATGCATAAACATGAATTTTGTCTGAACTGTGGAATTTTTCAAATCTTTTCCTGTCTTAATCAAATGTTTATGATTGATAAATTTCTTATGATATTTATTCTTAAGAAATTCTGTTACTTTTTAAAGTAACAAAATTTTTTGAGACTACTTTCAGCTTTCAAAACCTGAATCGAAAACATTATTTAGTAAATTTCATTGCTGAATTTTTTAAAGGTGTGATTTTTTGTAATCTATTATGTTTGCTTATCACTTATATGATTTTATGAATTAACCTACAAAATAAAACTTTTTTCTGAAGCTTCACAAAAAATTTTAATGAATTGGTTGATAATAAAAAATTTCATCAGAATAATCAGAAAAATATTAAAATTGTTCAGCATATTAAGAGTAGAATTACAATTTACTTAATAGTTATTTAACATTCAATGTTCATCAATTGCTGAGTGAGTTCTCATCAGTGAGTGGTAAGTCCTAACAAGTGCTAATTATAGTTCTCAGATAATTAATAATAGTGGGACAAGAAGCTTAATATTAATTACTTAATGCTGTTTCAGACAGTTTTTAAAAACTAAGAAGAATAATTACTAAGAAACTGTTCCATATTTCAAATTCTTAAGAATGATTTGATTGTTAAACTTCCCAAATACAGCAGAATCCTATTTATCAAGCTCAAATTGGACTGGCCTAATCCAAATGACTGAAAAACCAGAAAATTCATTAACAACATAAATAACACAGTTTAGATGTACATAATATTTTATTTATTGCAATGTGCAATAAATAAATTATTATATATAAATAAAAAATAAATAAAATAAAAAATGTATATACTTTTTTGCTTTATATTGTTAATATTGTTGTAAGACATCTATGTACAGTTGTTTTCTATCAGCTGGTACAGCACAAATACATAAGTTTCCTGATCATTTGTGTAGGGTAGAACTTCTCTTTGATCTTTTTCAAAGTTAATTATTAATTAGGCTTGGTGCTCTGTTGGGAAACCAAAAGACTAATTTGAACTGAAGTAATTGTGATATGCTGTACTATATTTATTTTTGTTACCAGATCCTTGGTTATAAAGTTACAAGTGTTCAAAATTGGCATTGAGCCAAGGAAAAACAGTATTATTACAGCAGTAACATTATACTCAGACAAGAATGTACTACTAACAAGTTAGACATACAGAAAGTTATATATGCAAAAGAACTCTCTCTCTTATCTGGATTAACAGAGTTCTACTGTATGTTGTACAGATAAAAGAAATAATGAACATTTTACTTTTGAATGTTCAGTACATGGTATTATAGAATTGATACTTTATAAATTAAAAGATGAAATTGTTAGAAATCTTAAAATGTTCACATGCTTTAAAAATTAAGTTTTTTTTTTAAAATAACATTCAGAATCTTCATATTCAAAAATCCTACTAATTTAAATGTCAGAATCATGTTTTGAAATCAATGTTTGTTCCTAATTTTACTTTTAGACATATTTAACCAGTTAAAAGAATAAATCTTATTTGATCAGGGTTATCTGCTGCTGGCTTGAGTTGTAGCCAGTTAGCAGGTATATTTTTAAGATTTTTTTAATTATTATTCTAGATATCTTTATTAAATTGTTCTGTGACGGAGAATAAAGTTAAGTTAATTTATGATCGTTTACTAATTTTCCATTGTATTCTTAATTATGTTATAGATAGAAATTTTATTTATTTTTTGTTAACAGAACATTGAATCATATGGATTTTATTGAGAAATTAAAAGTATTTGTCCCAATATACTACAGCTTATCAAACTAGTTTTACAAAATTAGCCAAAAAGTTTTAAAAAAATGCATAAGAAACTAGGGGTTAATGATTTAGTTGTTAATTTTAAGTAACAAATTTTTGTTATTTATTTTTGATAGAAATTTATCTAACAAAAATTTGGTAAAGTTGAAAAAGGAACATCCCTTTTCAACTTGCAGAAAACAGTTTAGTTCTAAAAATAGTTAGTATATGAGACATCTCACACTATCATCTGTGATACTGCATGACTTCCATAACACGTTAGAAGCATGGAGGGTTTATTTCTAACAATCCGATTGAATGGAATTTTCGTATAAAAGGCAAGAAGTCACTTTCAAAAGTGTTTTTTGTCAGCATCCTTGCCATTGCAATTAGCCAGTGCTCTCATTCCTCTCCCCAGTTCTCTATTTTTACTTGTTCCCAAGAACTTTCAACACTCCACGTCTAAGATGAATGTATTACAGGTAGGAATTTTGTAAACTCTCTCTCTCTCAGAAAAGCATTAGGGAATACATCGTCATTCATCTTATTTCCTTTTTAGAATCATTTACATTTTAGAGGTTTATTTCTATAAATGTTTATTACACAAAAATATCATATCAATCACATTTTTATAATAAATTTATTAATAAGGGATGAACAAAACTATCTTTTAATTATTGTATTTTGATTTGATTAGTGCCTCACTCCATCGCCTGTTCATGATTATCAACAATTTAACTTAAACCTTTTTAAAAATTCCAGCAAATTTTTAATAGACTTTTTTCCACTTGGAAAGTCAATATCACAAGTTAAGATGTGGTTAAATTTATTCTAACTGCTGTCAGGACTCTTAAGAGAAAGATTTCTCTGATCTGTCTTTCTACATTTCCATTCTGAATGTGGAACAGGGTTATTCTGGAGTCCCCTGTTCTCACACATAATCAACTATAAAAAAATTATCTAAACAAAATTTTATAATAATACATCTTAAAATATTTATTTCCATCATATATGTTTTTAACTTTATATGAATAAATCTAAGTTTTTATAAAATACATAAAAATAAATAAATATTTATTTATTTTTAAGTTTCAATTAATTTAGTATGTATGTGATAGAAATTTGTTAAGTTGTTTAAGTTCTATAAAAATTGCCAATAGATTTACTCACTGTATTCCTGGGGGTGTCATTTTGGGAATCACTGGCTATTGGTGTTCCCACCTAAATCAGAAAATGGACCAAAACTTTAAAAAAACAAATTTAAATATACAGGGTGTATCAGTATAGCAGTTACAAACTTTCAGGAGAGATAGAGTACACCTAGATGATAGGAAATCACATAGCAATGCATGGTCAGAAACGCTTTCTTGTGTTTTGTGTCATCACTACCATGCCAGGAAAGGAAGGACACGAACAGGGTAAGAAAACATGTTTATTATTCTTAGTACGGCAAAAATGCTGGGACGTCTTTGGCTGGTGTATGCGATGTTGCTACGTAAACCAGAGTATCAGATTACATTGCATGTGCGCAAGAATAATAAATATGTTTTCTTATCCTGTTCGTATCATCAATACCACACAAGGAAAACATTTCCGACCATGATGATTTCCCATTGTCTATGTGTACTCTCTCTCTCTGCTGAAAGTTTGTAATCGCTGTACCAATACACCCTGTATACAAACTGCTAAAGAATAAAAATTTTCAGTTTCTATTTTAATTTAAGAGCATAATTTTTTATACTGTTCTATTCTTCTTGTTACAGTTGTAATAGTAATGTTATAAATATAACTTACAAACAACTTTTAAATAATGAATATTTTTAAAATACTTTGTAAATAGTAATAAAATTTAATTAATTTAAATGCATTATGTGACATTATTTAACAAGTTTGTCAATACAATTCACAATCTTTTTTGCAGGAAACTATGGGAAGGAAACTTGTTGAAGTAGTTAAATCAACAGCAACTTCCCAAATGACTAAAGGAGCTGCTTTTAGTGGCTTGATGAATGCATTCAGTGAGTACTACTAAATTTTATTATGTTCAATAGAAATTTGCTTAATAGTAATATTCTGTATTTCTGTGTTAATGTATTTTACAATAGATTTCACATCTGTTGTCAAATCCATCCAACAAAGTATATAATTACAGTCAAACTTCTATATAATAAATTTTTGAATTGTACACTGCTCTTTCAGCTGAAAATATGTAAAATTGCTTCTAAATAACAAATTTTTTTTATACGTAAGGACCATCGGTCAATAACCTATTAAAACAAAAAATAATAATATTTTGGAAGTTAGTTATAATTTTTATATTAAAATGACTAGTGACATCTAGTTTCAAAAATGTTCAGATGCTGAAACGAGATATGTCAGAAATACCAGGGAGTATGTTAAAAGTCAGTTACTCTCTCTGGGTCAAGTTCGAATTTAGGTTCAATTTCAGGTATCAATCTGTAAATCCTTTGTAAATCTGTGGCCCAGGTGTTAGAAATATTGGATATTAGCTTTTAAAATCATCATGTAATCTGCCCCCATGTGGCTACCAGTTGTAAAGAAGGGAGAGAGAGAGACTAGGTTCAAATGCCTTCGTTGACAGATAAACAATTTACAATTAACAAATGTCAAAATGTTAGAAAGTTGATAATTTTGACAATTGCTGGATTAATTTTTCAGGTTAGTGAGATTTTATTTTATTTAATAAGTTGTCCAGTTGGAATTTGAAGAGATGTTAATATAGTGTTTAAGCATTACTAAAAAAAAGTAATGAGTTGTGGGACATTGATAAAGTTGAATAAAAGATAGACATTGTAGCAAAGTTTGGAATTCCTGTGAGTTAATCAACCATAATAACAAATAGCAATTCTGTTTTGCAATTAGCCAGTGATGTGATACCTGCAGGAAAAGGTGCTAGATTAACCTGCATTTATATTTGTTTAGAAAGTAAGTTCGTTTTTTTATCACTAGATGGATTAGTTGTATTTTTCCTGCCATTTTCATTCTAAACCATATTATCATTATATATTTTGACAGCTAGCATTTTAAGGCTTATTTGTAAAAAATTTCGTTTGATTTTGTGCAATTGTTTATTTTTTGTGTCCCATCAAATATGGAAGATCGAAAGCAGCATTTTCGGCACATATTGCTCTTTTATTACCGAAAAGGTAAGAATACTGTTCAAGAGAGGAAAAAAACTGTGTCACATGTATGGAGATGATGTGTTGAGAGAAAGACAGTGCCAAAACTGGTTTANCCTTAAAGAGGCACGGTATTAATCCTGGAGTCTTGGTCTCGGTATAAATCCTGGAGGACGACTTTGGTGGACGGACTTTGGAAAACGACTGACCTTGGGTGTTTTTTCCGTTTTCTCTTCTTATTTCTCTTGGGTTTTTCCCAGGAGGTCAGGAGGTTGTTGTTCATGGTCTGGCGTCCAATATGGGCACTCTATCGAAAGTTCTGGGTGAGACATCACTGACTAGCTGGATCCTCCTCTCCAAGGAACCAACTTCGTGGGAAATAAATTTTTATGGCTTTTAGCCTAACTTGATAAAACACTCGAAGTTAAGAATTTCCCAATAATTAAAATTTAAAATAACACTTTATTGTGGGTCTGTTCGTCCCTCACAATAGCCTTCTACTGGCTGCTTGGACATATTGGACTCCAAGGAAATGAAACTGCAGACAAACTTGCAAAACAAGACAACAGAAACTAAGCAAGAACTTTTAGACCATACTATAAAGACTTATACAGCTGTATCAACAAATACATATACAACAAATGGAAAGAGGACTGGAACAAACAACTCAAAAATATATATGTTATGGACAAAGTGATTAATATGGACATTATTCATAATGACCGGGCATTATGAATAATGACCAAAAAGGGTGTGCAGTGTGATAAATATTCATTAATTTATCAAATTGACCGGTCATTATGAATACTGCTATCATCTAGTTGGGCAAAGTGATAATAGATTTAGATCTGTTACTAAAGCCCTCCCGGTCAATTTTTGATGTAAGATCGGATCTCTCAATCCGAAACTTCAAGAACAGATTTCACTTAATCTGCGCCAATTAAGTGGTACCCAAATCTTAATAGAAAGGTACCCCTGGCTAATCTCACACTATTAACCAACTTTGCATTGAATTTTCATCGATGTTAAGCCTAACAAATTTTTTTTTTTTTAAATAATAATAATCACTATTGTATCGTTAAAAATTATTTTAAAATTATTTTATTGCTCACAAAACAAACAACCACTCATAATTAGAAAATTAAGTCTCGTTTAAATACTGGCCGCCCTTTAATGGTCGAGCCCTGTTACCAGCTAAAACATGCAAAAATAATATTAAAGTAGCCAAGACATAGCCAAATATTGTAGTGCCGCATCACTAGCGGACATTTGAAATTTGCCAACTAGAACGGTCAGATAATGGATGCTTTACTGTATATTATTGTTAATTTGGGATTATATTCTTTGTTCTGAAGCTTATTTTACCATTTAAGTGCATTCTTCATTCTATGTATTTAAAACTCTGAAGTGTTCAAAATATGCAGCACCACTGTATAATGTTCAGTAAGAAAGAAAAAAAAAACTATATTAATTTTAATCTTAAAAAAGACAGACTTCATTCTTTTTCTGATTTTATTTTATTAAATAAAATTGAATTACTAAAACAAGTTTGTATTTTAAATAATGCAAAATTATTTTTAAAGAAATTGCAAAAATCTTTTATTGTTTTAGAATTTAGATAATTTTTATCTTCTATTTCACCATTTTTGAAGTTATATGTAAAAGATCTTTAAAGCATGATTAAATAAACAATTATTTTTATATTATTTTTTATGTACTAAATCTGAATTTCAAAGTAAATTTTGACTTAAGATGTCTTAATAAGTCAAAATTTCTATATATTTTTTATATGTAAATATGTATTTCTCAAAAGAATCTTTAAATTATTTGTTTCTTCACACAGTTTTTACTTATATTTTTAAAAATATAAAAATATTTTGCAGTTCAAGGTAAACAGTTTGACAAAGCCATTGAAGTTCTCAAAGAAGGTCAAGAATTGGGTTTGGAACTGACAAATTTCTTCTACAGTACACTTTACAATCTTTATACTGGTCTCCGTTCAATAGATAAAACGGTTCCATTTGAACTTCCTCCTAAGGTACGTATGATAATAACTTTAAATCAAACAGAAAATTAAAATAGTATTTTCTTGAAAACAGTAGAAAAATAAATGATTTCAATAAGAAGTCAATACAGATTTACATTGCAAAATATATTTTTAGTTTACTTGTTGACTATTTTATTTTTAAAAGAAAATAATTACAATACAATTTAACTAAGGTTTTCATACAGCCTGTAAGGAGCTTTAGAGATCAAAAGTGATACTACAAATAACTAAAAGTATTCTGTGCATAATATTTTGATGAGTCAATATGTAATGGTTACTAGATTTTAAACTTCTTATAAAATAGTATAAAAAATCTGTTATAAGTTAATGATGCATCTTATTTGAATAATATTTAACTTTAGGTAATTGTTTGGTTAACTTTTATTGGTACAACTTTGCCAAAGTACTATAAAAATAATAAAAGATTATATAACAATAACAAACCCATTGCTAATTTTGTTTCCTGCTATCAGAATCCATTCTGACAGCAGTGATATTGAAGGCTATTCAATTTTTCCACCAGTAATCAGAGCATCATCCACTCTGTATACAGTTTTTAATGGTCTTTAAATGCTTTATTTACTTCAGCATCTAGAACCTAAAATTATTAAATAGCATTAATCTACTGAGTACTGTTTTTCTACCAATAGTTGCATAACAACACTGCAAAACAAAAATTTAACTGTAATTAGTATGTCATTCCACCAGAAATTATGGCCAAGTCTATGTTCATGTTCCTAACTTTTATTTTCACTGCATCAGTTAAATGGCCTCTGAAATCATCTAAAATCAGAAGGTTCCTCTGGTCCAGTAGTGACCTAGATTGCTGTCTCCAAACAACATTAAACCATTCTTTTGTCAGAGATTCATCCATAGTTTTTTGTGGCACCTTACAATTATTTCATATTTAGAAAATTCTTTTTTGGCAATGACTGGAGGTTTTCTGCCATCTCAAAACACTTCTTGCTGTGTGTGTTTGTTCATGTGCTAGTGCTTTCACAATAACTTATTTAACTTTCTTGTTACCTGCAAATACAACAATAGATATCTAAAAGTATATGGTTTTTCCATTTCCCATCTGTCCTAACCTACAGTTATGTTTCTTGGAGTAGTGATTAATTATTGGAATTCTTACAATTTGTCAGCATGTTCTTCCAGTAATCTTTGTGCAAGTGATATCCATGACTCAGGGCTAGACTAAATTTTCTCATTAGACTAATGTACCAACTATTACTTGCCTCAAATTTCTCTATTAATATAAAAATCCAATGTTTAAACAGGAATAAGATAAGGTCAGTTTTGCAATTTAAGTGTTATACTTACCTAGGAATGTCAAGTTCTCTTGTGACTTGTTTGATGTATGTTTGCATGGCTTCCATTGTTATTTCTATGCCTTTGTGATGTTTCTCATATAAAACCTCTACAAAACAATCAGCTTTAGGCCCACAAAGCAGTTTCTGTGTCCAATAAGGAGTTATTATTCTCCAATCATACATGTTTTTCTCAGACATGTTATTGTTTTTCTCATTGGGTACATTCTAAGGGTGCACCGATTAATCGGTAAGTAATCGGTAATCGGCTGTATCGGCCACTTAGCTGATTAATCGGTATCGGCCATTCCCCCCGATTAATCGGTTTCGATAATCGGCCAATTTTACATTTTGGTATTTTTGTTAGAATGTTAATTACAATGCTAGTAATAAAAACTAATAAATTTCTGTTGTATATTTATTATTTATTACATGACAAACTGAATATTAAAAAAATTTTACTAATCAAATTATTTTTTTTATCGATACATATTATAAGTATAATATAATGTATAATATAAAGTTTAAACATTACATAAGAAAAAGTATTGAATATGTTAAGAAAAATTAAATTTTTATTTGTTTTATAAGTTTAAAGTTTAAACATATAAAACAAATAAAAATTAATATATAAACTGTAAAACACTTAAATTGTAATGCAAAAACATGAGAATTTCATCATTTTCAGGGCATAACCTATTTTTTGCCGGCTCATAAATGTTACCTCCAGTGCTGAAAATTTTTTCACTTTCAATGGAAGATGCTGGGGCACTTAAATATTTCATAGCTATTTTGCTCAAATTATGAAAAAGTTCTTTTGAACTTTTCCACCACAAAAATATGTCACTATGTCTTTGTTTAAGGGATAAATGTAAATATGTTTCTAATTCTTGATCGAAACGTTTGTTCGTCTCGTTTTTTCTTTCTTTTTAAAAACATGCTATTCTTCATTCTTTTGTTTACCAGAAGCTAATTCATCAAATAAATCAGAAAAACTTAGAAATTCACCTCCATCTTGATCACCTCCAGAAGTAGAAGCTTCAGAATTTAATTCTTATTGAGATTTCCTCTACCATATTTTATTTTTGAAATTTCATTTTGAATCTAATAAAAATGACAAGCATAAAGACTTGTTTTCTATATATGCTGAAAATCTTTTTTTTTTGGATTTTCTAGTTCTTCTGTTGTGGTATTAATGCCACTAAAGGAACTACTGATCTTTGCTTTTGATAAGAATAATTTCAGAGTCTCTATTGTGGGAATTATTGAAGATGAAGTGGCTTCTCGTTTGCTGGCTTTCCACAGTAATTTCTTTGAATGGTTTTACAAGTAGAACAATTTTTTCAACGAGAGACCACTGATATGGGCTCAACGTAGGAATTTTATTATCTATAGCATATGTGACAAGGGCCTTTTGCTGTTCCAACATGTAGTATGTAGAATTCCAGCGAGTAGGAACATCTTGAATTAATTTGTGTTTCTGCAAACCTAACTTTTCTTGCAAATCTTCCAATTTGATTACAGCTACAGCAGAATGATTAAAATGTGTGACAATATTTCTATTAACTGTGATTATAGTTTTCACATCTTGTTTAGAAAATATGCATTCGTTTAGTGTCAGCTGCAGCGTATGTATAAAGCATGATAATGCTTCTAAGTTGCAATTCCTAATTCCAGCTACCAGATTTGCTGCAGAATCTCTTAGTACTAAGAATATCTTATCACTTGTCAACTTATACTGTTCAAGAACAATTTTTAACTGTTCACTGATTCGTGTAGCTGTGTGGGAACCTTCAAAGGAAACAATTTGCAAAACAGCTCTTTCCTGCTGAAAATCATCCTTCAACCAGTGGGCTGTTACACTTAAAAAAGTAGAATTGTTTGTAGTTGCTGTCCAAATATCAGCGGTTAAAGAAATATATTTTGTTTCTGTTAAACACAGAAACACTTCAGTTTTTTAAACAACGTCGAAGTTTCCATGCGTCAACAATTAAGTGTTGAGATTTATTTTAGAAACAAAGGAAGATATTGATTTTGATGTTGATTTTGCGAGGATATTCGATCGTCTCTTGTTTACCTGACCCGAGTGAGATGGAAATACCAGGTGGAGAAAAATAAGTTTTTTCCACATTAAAATTAACTCCAGGATCTCACACTATTAATGCAATAAATTATTATCACTAATCGGCCGATTAATCGGTATCGGCCGATAATGCATGGCCGAGTAATCGATAATCGGCCATTTTGCTTATCGGTGCATCCTTAGTACATTCCAATATGCATCAAACAGTGCATTAGTAAAGTGTTTTGATAAGTGTTCACCAATGAATTCACCTATGCAGCAACCAATTCACATTTTACTAATCAGGGTATGGATATGGCTGCCTCCATGGTTATATTTAGCAACTTTATAAAATAATCATAAAAATTGAATAAAATGATTACAATATTATTTATCTCATATGTTAATTAAATATAAAGCTAATATATAAAAAAATTTTAAATCATCAAATAATCTAATTGAAACGTATAGCCTGTGTTGCTAGTGGTAAGAAAATGGGGTAAGAAACATTATCATTTTTGTATAGAGAGAAGTTCTCTTAGGTTTTTATCATAACAGTAGCATTGAATGAAAATATTTCTTTATCATCATGTTTACTATTTGTCTGTATTAATCCAAAGTTATTTTGACAAAATAAGCCTGCAAATATCAATGTAGTGCCGTTTGCTTCCTCTGTCTTGTTAGGTTGCCAGACATTCTAGTACAGTAGAACCTCAAAAACTCTGCCTATTGTGGACCGAAGAGTGGCTGAGTTTGTGAAAATGCCAGGTTATCGGGAATGGGGTTAAAAAAAATAAGTACGAGTGTTTCCTCAGAAAATACTATACTGTACTTGTATGTATTGTTTACTTGAGAATATAACAGAGAATAAACTGCCCAAATACTTTTAAACAAAGGAAAAGTACGTCCTTTATGAAGGCATACAGCCTTTACTACATGAAAATGAAAATTAATGAATACACTGTGTACAGTAATTTACCTGATAAGACAGACCTCAGAAAAATACTTTATGAGAGCTTTTATACTTTTATAAAGCTGTCTATAATGAAAATTAATTAACTAAGGATTTTTTTGCCCTGCCAGGGTGTGGCCGAGTTATCCAGAGTGCCGGGTTATCGAGAGCCGAGTTTTCGAGGTTCTACTGTAAAAGCTTTTTAAGCCATTCACCAATGCATCAGTTGTAGCTGATACTGGAATGTACAGTACCTATTGTATTTGATGCATATGCTTGAATTTTACATCAATGCTTTACAGGGATGTTCAAATACTTATTTTCACTAGGTTGTTTTTGTTCAGGCCTAACTTTTATTTTACAATTAATTTCTGTCCATTAAGAAAAATATGAGCTACTCATAATGCTGTAATGCAGACTTCCTACAATCTTGTTAGAGCAAAATATAGAACATATGATATTCTAATGGAATGCCATAATTTGTGTGTAAATAATTATATTAGGCAAAAAGAAATACAACTAAACTTCAAATAAAACCTTTTAATATGCAGCCATTTTATTATCTATTTGAATGCTTTTGATCATTAAAAATGATCAAAAGCATTCAAATTTGCAAATCATCAATGATACTTTCTTGTCTTTCATAAGAACATTTTCGTCAGTTGTAAACTTTAGAATTTCTTTATGGCAGATTTAACATAGTTGTTCCAAAGAATCTTCAAGGTCTTGGAGGCTTTTTTCCCCGATATTGCACATTGTGCTTCCACAGACATTTTTGCCAGACTGTTTCATGATGTCTCACTAACATGGCTTTCAGTGAATGGTAACTGTTGTCATCTTTGCAGCGAGTACAGATTTTTTTAAACATGTTTCTCTATTCCCGACATGTTTAGCTAAGATATACATTACCTGTTCCCTTTTTCATTGCCTTTAATTGACTAACACAGAATAATTCTGGGAACTTCTTGAGATACCTTGTATGTTGATCCACTTATTCTTCTAGAATCTAATATTTTTATTTTATTTTTTTGTCTCAGCCTCAGAGAAGAGGACGAAAAGAAGCATCCATTCCAACAGAAGAGGAAGCAGAAGGAGCCAGAGAATATGTGAATTGAGATAAAGAAGATTAATTTCAATATTTAAATATCAATAGCTAAATTGCATTTAGATTTGTACAGTTCTTGTTTCAATAAAAACTCATGTCTCTTTTGGGGCTCTTTTTGTATTCAGTTAGTTGACTACCGTAATTATCTTCTGAAAATTCTAATTTCCTAATTGCCTGAGTATGTTATTTATTTGCTACAATTTAGTCTTAAAAGAATCATTAAAAACAGATATATCTAATGGTCAGTATCAAATATTTCTGACATAGAAAAGTCATTTTGTTAATTTCAATTTATTTGTATAAATTTTATATTGAATGATTTTAAAATGAAATATTTGGATAATATAAACGTTTGTTGTGTTAATTAATACTTGCATTATTGATTTTATTTTGTGGAATAATGAAAGATATTGACTCTGGTTCACTAATTCTAAATTAGCTAATAAGTAAAGTGTATAGATGATTGCAGACCTGAATATTATCTTATATATCCTATTTTCCTGAAATATAGAAATGGGTGGGAAGAAATGAGAATGTGTTGATGGATGCTTATGAATGGTACAGCCATATGGGGAATAGCAACTATGGATAGGATAATGATGAAAGCAGGACTGAATTTAGTCATACTGTTTAATGGCATGAAGTCCTCCTGGCCAAACTGTACCATGCAGTTATTTTATGTTTGTTTTAAATATAAAACTGATAAAATATGATCAGTAATGATTATGGCTAGCAAATATAAAAGTGTATTCATGATTTTACCAGTGTGAAGCTATTAGGTCTACATGTTGGACCATTTTAATCAATCCAGAGGGATAACTTGAAAAATATGCATCCTACAAGAAAAGTCAAACTAAATATATTAGGTAATATATTAATTTGCTTCAATGTCCTTAATTTATTTAATTATTATTTCATTCACCAGTACAGTGTGTATTTCTATTAATAGGACTTATTAAACTGGTATTTAAGATTACTGAAAATCAATCACACAGATTAAAATTATCTGTGTGATTGATTTTCAGTAATCTTAAATACCAGTTTAATAAGTCCTATTAATAGAAATACACACTGTACTGGTGAATGAAATAATAATTAAATATATTAGCTATCAAGAGGGCCACAAGGTGGTGCTATTGGTTTCATCATACATGGTGCTAGAATAAGTGAAAATGGGGTCAACTTCATTTTCTTAATGCATATTCTGATTCTACATAAAAAAATAAACTTTCATCTATAATATTTTTTTCAAAGGATGCATTATTCAAAAGTTATGGACCTTTGAAATTTTATGATGCCATTCGCACACGCACGAATCTATGGATGTCTGAATTTCACTGAAAAATGAAAAGTTACAAAGCTGCTATTACTTGTTGGAACAAAGGTCACTGTCTTCTCGGCCAAGCAATCTTTGTACCCTGAACTGGGAGATCGGTCGTGGGTTCGTGCCTCACTTGGACGGCTGGCTACGTGGAGTTTTCCGGGTTTTCCCCGCGTCTGTAATGCCTATATATGGGCCAGTTTCCCTTAAGACCTCCTGGATCCCTTAGGCGGATCACCCAAGTGTTGCGTTGCCATAACTTTACAATGTATTCTCTTTATTACAAACTTGATGGCTTTAACATTCTTTTGCATCAGTTCATTATTTGACCAAATAATACAAGTTGACCTTCACTAATCTGACATCATTGAGACCAATAGTGCGCTGAGATTACTTACTGAAGGTTAGGTTAGAATACACGTAACCCAACGGATAGCATTCTCATCTTTTCTTTAAAAGACACTAATTCAGTACAAGTTGGTTAATAAAGAAAAAACGTTTAAATGAACATACATGCCAAATTATATACATTGGCTGTGCTGGGTTCCTCAAACAGTAGTAGCAGGTTGGTGTAGTAACATAGAAAATTTGAAATTATGCTAGTCGAAATTAGTGCTTAATGATGGTCAATCTGATGCTTTCTGGTGACTTTTTAGGCATTTTTTTTCCAGTGAAATTCACAGGCATCCACAGATCCATGTGTGCACGATGTGGTAGCCATATGAAACTTCAAATACCCATAACTTCTGATAAAACTTTTTTCAAAAGATGCATTAATCTAAAATGATGATAAAAATAAGTGTTGCAACGAATAGTATATTCGGCCAGGAGCGTGGACGAATAGCCGAATATTCGGCCAAACTATTCGGCTTGATTAACGCACGTACGAAAATTGGCGCACAAACCTCATTATGGCAAGGATCCTGCTCTCTATAGGCCCGCTGTCACTACGCTTCGCCAATCGCGTTAATTCTTGACAGTTGTAGCGGACAGACGAGCATCATGGCAGTATGCGATAAATGATGATATCAAATGTGAATAACAATGAAATGACCTATACGTATAAATAACGGAAAAAGAACAGAGAAGGACCGCGAAGTGAAAATGTGAAAATAAATATGAAATTGAGTTGATAACATAATCGAACAAGTCGAAGCAGCTTATTGGCGAGAAATTTGCGGCCGTCAATGCCAAACAATTGTTGGCCTTCGAAAGTTAAATACTTATAATGAAAGTCACTTAGCGTGCACGGGCGAAAGCCTGGGACCGTTCGGGCTACCAAGCTGTCTCGAATCTACGAAATCAACTGTGACATATACCGACGTCCTATCTGTCTTTTTTCTTCCTTATCACCAGGCTATGAGTCACGTAATTATGAAATGGAAAAACTACGACGGAAAAGTGACGAATCGAAAGTATCGTATTATGATGTATGCATAAGCATACATGGACTAGAGAGATAGAGGAAAGAGAAAGGAAAGAGCAAAGACGAGCGCTTAAAAAGGATAGGCAGTGTCGGGCCCTCAGATGTGTGCGACGATTCTCGCACGAATAGGTATGCACGTGTGCTGATCTTTGTAATTATAAATTGTGAATACATGTGACTATTATTATTTTTTTTTTTATTTTGCGCATGTTATAAGTTACAAATATAAACAAACAACATTAACCCGACAACATTAAATCTAAATACCAAAATGATTAATTTACTGTGTTTTTGTTATTTCTTACTCCTGTTTTTAGGTATTCGGTCGAATAGCGAAAAATAGGCTGAATACCGAATAGTAACCGAATATTCGTTACATCACTAATAAAAATTTATTTTTCATATAAAATCGGAATATGCAATTTAAAAAAAGTGGTGGTTATAATTTAAGAAAATGAAGTTGACCTCATTTTCACAGATGAAATGATGTACGATGAAACCAATAGCCCCATCTTGTGGCACATTGAAGTCTAACATTTTTTATTCTTGACTTTTCTTTCTTATAGAATATGTATTTTTCAAGTTATTCCACTGGATTGATTAAGATGGTACTGTTACAACCTGTATAATTAAATCAGACAATAGTTGAATAAGATCAGCCTACAAGTATTATCCTTCCAACTACTGATGGAAAGATGAGACTGGTCTGAATTTAAAGGAATTGACCGGAAAGGGAACACAAGTGGGAGGTTGTGTGTTTTTTTAGTTTCTCCCCTGTGGGCACTAAGACGGTGTTTTTGTTTCAAGCCCATTATGAGTGGCCAGACCCACAATAAGATGCTGGGTGTTGAGGGATGGGTCTGACATCCGGGCAGAGAAGTGATTTTCAACTGGTGTGCCACGAAAAATTTTGAAGGTTATTAAATATATTTTCGAAACAAGTCCAAAGAACAATAAATGGACATGTCAAAATTAAAACCTCTTTAAATTAAATTGATTATACGAGTTTTTCATTGTTATAATAAATAAACGTATACAGTACATAATTTTCTTATGAATATGTATTATTTACTACATTATGTGCGCAAAACACCGGGTTATTTCATTTAAAGTAATTTTCTGTAAATTGAACTAAATATGGACAATTATAAATGCATTTTAATTATTTTAATTTAGAAATGGCGATACATTGAACAGGTTTCTAAAGGCAATTATCATACTTTTATAAAACTTGACGTTAATTGCTTTTCTTATGTATATGAAAATTATTAATTTAAATAACTATTGTTGTAACCTGCTGCTATTTTGAAAAACAACAATACTGTTTTATTTAATTCACAAAAAATATAGACAAAAAGAATTAGGTTAAGTGGCAAGTAATATGGCGATACAATGTTTACAAACTTTAAATCACGTGATTTTTTCCCGCGGAAATTAATTATAGGTTTAAGTGTCGTGAGATAAAAAAAAAAGGTTGAAATAACCATGGTAAAGCCACTTCAGCATTCGAATTGCCTGGGGCTCCATGGGGCAGACCACCTCTTAAAAATTCCTGGAGGTTTTTTAATTAATTTTTCGGCAACATTTAAATCTGCGTGTGGCGCCATCTGTTATATAAGAAGTTTATAAATACAATCTTATAATTATTATAAAATGGCAAAAAGCTTGAGAGTAGGGATACGTTTTATTAAAAAAAAAAAAGAAAGGAAAAAATTATAAATGCTAATGGCGAGTGACTATTCATATATAAGTCCGATTCTACTCGAGATATCACACACTTCCCATCTCCCATCCTCGACCTTTAACCATCAAAATTTAATAGCATCAATCCCCTAATATTAGTATATAAACTTCCTTGCAAAATTTCAGAAATTTTCGACAAAAGAATTATTACGCTTCAAATTGGGTAAATAAAATCGTGCTCTCCACACTAATATCCATACGTACAGAAAACCCCCGAGTTTTTTTTTTTTTGCTAATTACGCGTTAATTAAACAACGTTCTGCATTATTTTTAACATATTAATCTATTTAAATAATAAAATATGATTAAGAATCACTTATTTTTGCTAAAAGAACTAAATTTTTTAGAATCCGTAACAAAGATGTATGTATTAGTAGAATAAACGCAAGTACTTTTCGACACTAAAAAGGACAAATGTTTTTTTAAATATAATAGTTTTGTCAATATTGATGGCAGTGCCAATTTACCAACTTTTAGCGCCAATCTCTGTTCTTATTTTATCATTACTCTAAGATGAGAACAAAACGCGATTCTAACCATACAATTCGTTACTTAGTGCCCATTGATGAATGCCAATCATACAAAATTGAAAGAAGCCTCGTGGCATGGGAGAAAAAAGTAGTTGCGAATCGCCTGCAGAAGGACCGAAAAAACTTGCCGTACTGACGATTTTTGTGTAGCACGCCACATTGATTGAGCTCATTGATTGTATTTTAATTGAATAAAACTGTCAATTTTGCTTAATACTTATTTTCTTTAAATTTTAGATAGCTTGAGCACTTGTTTACGTTAATGAGGCCATGACTATAACGGACACATTTATTGATTTAAAATAATTGGCTATTGTATCTCGATCGTACAAGAACTATCACAATTAATATTTTTGATTAAGGGCAATACAACAATTTAACAGTTTATTTTTACAGCACATTTAATTTATTTAGATTTATTTAAATAAATTCTCTAATATATTGAAGAGAAGTAAACATTACAATCCGGTTGCATATAGATTTAAAATGTAAATACAGTAGAACCTCGTAAACTCGGCCTAATGTGGACCGAAGGGTGTCCGAGTTTGTGAAAATGCTGGGTTATCGGGAATGGAGTTAAAAAAATAAGTACGAGTGTTTCCTCAGAAAATACTGTACTGTACTTGTATGTATTGTTTACTTGAGAATATAACAGAGAATAAACTGCCCAAATACCCCTAAACAAAGGAAAAGTACGTCCTTTATGAAGGCATAGAGCCTTTACTACGTGAAAATGAAAATTAATGAATACACTGTGTACAGTAATTTACCTGAAAAGACAGATCTCAGAAAAATACTTTATGAGATCTTTTATACTTTTATAAAGCTGTCTATAATGAAAATTAATTAACTAAGGATTTTTTTGCCCTGCCAGTGTGTGGCCGAGTTATCCGGAGTGCCGGGTTATCGAGAGCCGAGTTTTCGAGGTTCTACTGTACTGACATTTTCATAATGAAATCGTTCGTGTATATGAAAACAGTACAAAGAATTTAAAACGAGCACACATCTAATTTAAACTTACACAGACGAAATTAAAGTTGGATGTTTTGATATACATCATTTACACATAATTACAAAAGTATATCATTTCTTAATTCGGTTTTATACTTCAAAAAATTTGTTTTAAAAGTTTTGGACAATTTTAAATGTAATCGAAAAACAATGGAATAATTTTTAAAAATGTTTATATAAAATTATGTTACTTTACAATTATTTTATTAAAATGATAAAAGTAAACAATAAAACAGCAAATATTGTAGCGTGAAGATAACAATTGATTTTTGTTGGACATGGCAGAGCTTTGGGATTTGGTCACTTCGTGGTATTCTACAGACTTTATATATTGTAGATTACTCGTAGAGGTTTTTATTGGATGCATCATCGGAAATTTATACCGAAAATGTCAAATGTTACTTGCCCTGCAGATCAAACTGGAGCAATACCAAGAGCGAAAGGGCAAAAAACTGAAAGCTTCAAGTAAAAAAACTGATCTTCTTAAAGTTTCTGAGGAAAGACAACTGTTGCTAAAGCATGTAGAAAAAGCAGAAAAAGCTTGTAACAATATTCGAGAGAATTTCGGTCAAGAATTCATTTTGAAATCCGGAGGAACCGGAGAATCCAATAAGAAAGTACGGATTGTGGAACGATTGGGGATGCTCCAAGAAAAAGGAAAAGGCGAAAATACGGAAAAAAACGAAAAGTGTGGATGCGAATCATTGCCTAACTTGATCGTGGCCACTTCCGATCAAAGCGATGTAATCAATGTAAAAAATAAAACTGAATTAGAAGTAGGATTGACTTTATCTCAAAGCGATTCTTCCGTTATGCTCCTATATTGTGCTGAAGAACTAGAGAAAGAAATGAAAGGACATAGAATAAAATCTAGAAAGATTATAAACAAGATGAAACAATTACGCTTAGTTAGAAGTTCTCCAAATTCCGTTGATCTCGTCAAAAACTAATATAGACACTCCGGCAAAGGAAGTATTATTGTTTTCGTTTTCAGAAGAAAAAAATTCTGGTTAATTTTATTAAATTTTACAGTCTCGATTATATATTAAATATTGAAAAAACTAATACAAAATTTTGTTTAAAATTGAAAATAAACGAAATTATAGCCGAAATTTTTTTATTGTTTTTTTAAATGTTGAAATGATCACTATGCTAATATAAATGTCGATAACGCTTAGTATACAGTAGTATTATTTAACCGCTATTATATATAACAGCAGGAAAGTATGGCGATCGGTGAAAAAGTGATACCCCAAGATTTTTACATTTTTGGACTTAGGACACCTTAAAATGTCAAGAAATTGGATGTTAGTGCGTGGGGCACGATTTTGTTCACCTTGTTTGAAGCTTAATAATTCCTGTGCTTTTTGTCGAAAATTTGTGAAATTTTGCAGATGTTTATGTATTAGGGCAGGGGTGGCCAATAAGTCGATCGCGAAGCCAATTTTGGTCGATCGCTCGCGATGTCTTGAATATGCTACACTTGTAACCGAATGCAGCGCGTGAACGTAACGCGCAAACGCAACTGTAATGATGTCCGACCTCCGCGTCCTCCCTCAGATGCTGTTTTGTCGGTCCATGTGCAATCCATTTGTGTACAGTTGTAAAGGAGGAATAAGAAATGTAGACAAAGGGTCGTAAAACCGAAAAAAAAGAAAGGCGGGAAGAGGGACAGAAAGAGTAGGTCGGGACACGATAGAGAGAGAAAGGGTGAAGTGGTGGTCCCCGAAAATGACAACGTTTGAGTTTCAATTTTTATTCTGTTTAAAATGTAAGTACCTTTTCATCATGTTTTAAATTAAATTGTGGCTTTTCTTACCTATCTAAACATAGTATGTATTTCACACTTCTCCCTCGCCACTTTGACTATGCCTACTACAACAAGTCGATCGCGACACATTTATAAGATAAAAAGTAGATCTTATGTACACAAAAGTTGGTCACTCCTGTATTAGGGGATTGATGCTATTAAATTTTGGTGGTTAAAAGTCAAGGTCGTAGGGAAATGGATGGGGTCATATGTCGTATCTCGAGTGGGATGATCTTAATGAAGAATGGAGATTTTACTCATTGAACATTTACGATATTATATATATATAAACTCACCTCTACTTTCAAAATTAGGCTTTTTGCCATTTTATAATAATAATAATGTAAAAGTTACTTTTACATAAAATCGCATAACAGATGGAGCTATACAATTTTAACGTTTTTGCCGGAAACTTTATGCATTTACTGAATCTTTTTAATGCTATCAATTGATTTCATAGAATTAGTATTCAGAACAAGGAAGCATCAAAACCAAGTTGCGCTTTCGACACACCGAGTGTCTCATCTACCACTGACAATAGAGAGGTTGCTGCGGTCGTTTTTTTTATCGCGAAAACGTGTATTGGACGTTCAGTGCCGTCTTCCTGTAAGCCTAGAAGTTTGACAATGGCATTTGGAACGTCAGTAGAATCATGCTCAACGTTCCAAACGCAATTGTCAAACTTCTAGGCTACAGGAAAGCGGCGCTGAACGTCGGACGTACACGTTTTCGCGTTGAAAACGTCGGCCGCAACCTCTACATTAACTATCATAATGAATTAATCCGTAATGACTAAGCGCAATAAAACAATTTAAAGAAATAAAAAGTATTTTTACAGTACATTTAATTTATTCAGATTGACCTAAATAAATCTTCTGTAATATATTCAACAAAAGTGAACATTACAATCCGGTTGCGTATACATTTAAAAAGTAAATATTGACACTTTCGTAATGAAATCGTTTATGAATTATTAAACAGCACGAAGAATTAAAGATGAGGATACACCTGATGTAAATCTGTACACACGAAATTGAAGTTGGACGTTAAGAATGTTACCTCATCAGACAATGTGTTTTCTGCTTACGAGTTCACTCAGTAGGACTAATTGTAGAAAATAATATGGAAAGACATTTTTCGCCTGCCTTTTCAGTTATGATTGCTTTTCGTTTCTATCACTAAACAAAAGTTTCATTCTTCATTTGTAAAGCGAGGTGAGTTTTAAAGATGAAAATTTCATATAATAATTTTCCAGTTGTTGATCAAGTTCTTTTATTATTATAAATATTTTTCGAATTATTCGCAGAAAAACTATTATGGCAAATTGTACGAAATCTTATCCTAGTAACATTTGCATCGTTGGTCTACTTGATCCTATTATTTCCGTAAATGAAATTTTCGGATTGAATCTTGTAGAACCTTGTAAATGTCGAAAGCGTAAAATATCCGCCTCTCTTTTCTCAACTTACGAAAGAATAATCGAAATAATCTTATGGATCTCTGTAATATTTATTGCCGTAATTCTTGTAGTCGATATCCCATGCGGTAGAATATTTCTTTTGTTTGAAGAACACGCTTTCTATTGCAAATTCTTGCCGTTAACTTGTTCTTTGTATATTGCGTTGCAATTCAGTATTATAAGGAGGAAAAAGTTCAAATTACATTCTATGTCCAAAAGTAGTTATGAAGGCGAAGAAAAATATTTTGATAAAGTTCAACCATATTTACGGAATTCGTTTCTGTATCTTGTCCTTTCAATGGCATTGATTGCCATTTTAATACCGTTTATTGGCCATTCATATATTGATTTTGGAGAAAAGCACAAAATGAGACAAATTACATGTTTAGTCACCATTCAAATTTGGTTTATGCTTACCTTTATTCATATCGTCTTTGTGTTTGTCATAAGCACACTCTGTGTATTACTCGTATCGAAAAGATTATCTAAAATCTCTTCGGAATTACAAACCGTAAATAAAGCGACAAAATATTATCTCCAAGATCTAATCGAAAAATTTATAGAGCTGTGGGAATTTTTTCAACAAGTAAACGAAAAATGGGAGCTTCTTTTGCCTCTCATTTACATCCATTTCGTATACGAAACGTGCTTTCTTTTATACGGAGCCATTTTTGCCAAGATGAATCTTTTCATTCGCCTATTCATGGCTACAGTTGCATTAATATTATTAAGTTTGAGTTTATTGTCATCCTGGGGATTATCAACTTTAACATCAATCGTAAGTAAAAGTTAATATAAATCATTTAGTCTATTTTTAAGAATCTAATAATATTGTTTCAGATATACGACAATTTCATCTCTGTGGAAAAATATTTCACCTCTCCTCTCATGTTGACATATAAGTTAAAAGTATAATATCATACTTTAAATTTTATTTTACTTTATTTATGTTTTAATTCAAATTATCGGTATTAGATCATTTGCTTCATGAAGATATTCGGAGGAATGCCCATTGGCGCATCTATCGGAGGATTTTTTTTTGTGAAAAAAAACTTCTTGATTCGGGTAAGATCGCAGTTGTTTATGCAAAGCCAGATTTTTGCTTGATATATTAAATATAAACGTATAACATTATAATTCAAATAATTATAGAAAATTTACAGTAAAATATTTCTTTATGCTATTTACAGGCAGCCAGTGGTTTCTATTCGGTATTCTCGACTTTAATTGAACTGACAGGAGTGCTTGACAAGGACAAATGCACTTCGAAACTGCATCCAACCCTCCTTACCAACGACACAATTATTTAGACCTGTTTTACAATAGAATAGATCAAATATATATTTATGCTATTTACAGGCAGCCAGTGGTTTCTATTCGGTATTCTCGACTTTAATTGAACTGACAGGAGTGCTTGATGAAAATAAATGTACTTCGAAACTGCATCCAACTATCCGTAGCAATGGCACAATTATTTAGAGATATTTAGACTTGCTTCATAGCAGAATTGATCAAATACATAAATTCATGCATCCAATGTATACACACCAATGTTCTCTAATTCATATGCATACAATTTATTTATAAATGCTCTTCGTATAATTTGTTAATTCCTCAAAATTGGCAGATTTGAGAAGCAAGTTTCACGAAGCATGCACACACGTCATACGATCAGGAAACAGCCAGCTTTAGGAATGATCGAACACGGTGCACAGAGTGTAGAAGGAGTAAAATTTCAGAAGTTAATAATATATTTAGATTACAGTATAAACATTATTTTTTTTGCGCAGTAATTTTTGATAATTGTGCATAAATCTCATTATTAAAATTTATACACTAATTAGAAAATTCTTGCATAGGACGTTGGTACCATAAGATGAAGCCGGCGCTACGTAGAAGTTAGGAATAAATTTATAAATGCAAACCAGCGTTCATTTTTTATTGTTTACTTCTCTGTTCTTCATATATATTGTTACATTTTGAGTTATAATATGTTTGATATAGGATTTTTCGATTTCTTGTACTAAAACTCGGATTCATCCAGTCTTTTCACTTTTACTCGGACTCGATCTAAAACTCGACGAGTCCGAGTCCAAATTCGTATATTTTGACGGCATTAAGTAGAAGTTAATTTTCGGTCGTTGAAGAATTATTAATAAAAGTGAAAGTACAAAGCGCTATTAGTAAAGATAACCTGCTACTTGTATTTTATCTTTACTGAGTAAAGTTAAAACGCGCTCTCCTATAACGGGAATTCGTATAACGCGACGATAAAATACCGTCTAGTACTCACACAAAATTCTAATTTTGTTATCCAGAAGCATACGTTTTCTTCTTATAGGCCTGGATTTACACTTGTATAAAATTGTTTGATAATGCATGTCTCGATAACGAAATTTTCTATAAGGCGGAACATGTCTACCGACTCCGCTATACAATTAGCAGATTTAGTCGGCGGAGAATGGCTAATCAATTAAGGTAGTAAGCTGCTACCTTTGAAAAAAACCCCAGGAATTTTTCGGAGTGGATCTGTCCGGATATGTTTGGCGCCGTCTTTCACTATCCGGCCGCTCCATTGTGGGCATGGTCAAACCAAAATGAGTTTGCTAAAAATGTTCTCCTAATGTACTGTACATGGGGCTGAAAGAGTTAACCCACAAACGTTTTCAGCCTAATGAAATAGGCCATCATCAGGTGATAAGTTATCGAACAACTTTGAAAATTGCGTTAAAACAGAACTTTCGAACATTATAAATTCAAAATTAAAATGTAAAATAAATTAACCAATCACTATACAAAATAACTATAATAAATAGATTGAAGCCATATTAATATAA